ACCGCCATCTATAAGCGACGGCGGCAACCGTCGCTCATAGATGGTGGCAACCTCTCTAGCCTTTCCGCTCTAGTTTTCACTAGAGTGGAAAGACTGAATTTTTCTAGGTGTTGTCCTAGAAGTTGTCCTTGAGGTCATCCTAGACATCGTCCTTGAGGTCGTCCTAGACGTCATCCTTGAGGTCATCCGAGAGGTTGTCCTCGAGGTTATCCTAGACGTCGTCCTCGAGGTTGTCCTAGAAGTCGTCCTCAAGGTCATCCTAGAAGTCATCCTTGAGGTTGTCCAATAAGTTGTCCTTGAGGTCGTCCTAGACGTCATCCTTGAGGTCATCCGAGAGGTTGTCCTCGAGGTTATCCTAGACGTCGTCCTCGAGGTTGTCCTAGAAGTCGTCCTCAAGGTCATCCTAGAAGTCATCCTTGAGGTTGTCCTTGAGGTCGTCCTAGACGTCATCCTTGAGGTCATCCGAGAGGTTGTCCTCGAGGTTATCCTAGACGTCGTCCTCGAGGTTGTCCTAGAAGTCGTCCTCAAGGTCATCCTTGAGGTTGTCCAATAAGTTGTCCCTGAGGTCGTCCTAGACGTCATCCTTGAGGTCATCCGAGAGGTTGTCCTCGAGGTTATCCTAGACGTCGTCCTCGAGGTTGTCCTAGAAGTCGTCTTCAAGGTCATCCTAGAAGTCATCCTTGAGGTTGTCCAATAAGTTGTCCTTGAGGTCGTCCTAGACGTCATCCTTGAGGTCATCCGAGAGGTTGTCCTCGAGGTTATCCTAGACGTCGTCCTCGAGGTTGTCCTAGAAGTCGTCCTCAAGGTCATCCTAGAAGTCATCCTTGAGGTTGTCCAATAAGTTGTCCTTGAGGTCGTCCTAGACGTCATCCTCGAGGTCATCCGAGAGGTTGTCCTCGAGGTTATCCTAGACGTCGTCCTCGAGGTTGTCCTAGAAGTCGTCCTCAAGGTCATCCTAGAAGTCATCCTTGAGGTTGTCCAATAAGTTGTCCTTGAGGTCGTCCTAGACGTCGTCCTCTATCGTCCTAGACATTGTAAAGATAACAGCTTCGCTGGTCCTCCATCTTCACATGAAGTGGAAGGGCTCTACATTTTTTTTAGTTGGGTTGAATGTTTCTGTTATTCGACCTTCATTTTAATAGAAAGAAAAAGTTGGGTTGATCATCCCTTTGCGAGTCGATAATGCTTGAATTTGGGCTGGTTGGTTTGACATTATGAGGTGTACTGCGTTGCAAAGTTACACAGAACAAACACACATACGCTATGAGACGATATGGTAAAAAGAAAAGAACACGACGTACTTGTGAAAGCGCAGACTGACAACAACCAGAGAGATCAAGTGTCTGCAAATGCCAGCAAAGACATTTATCATGCCGCTTATTTCCCCGAATTTTTCATCTTCCAAAACTGGCATTTCTTTGTATCTAAAAAACACCGATGTTTGTGATATCCCGCAATGACATTAATCATCCAGTATTTAACTCTAAGAATTATCAGGCAAACCTTTGTCTTTTAAAACTCGTGTATAGAGGAGGAAAAAGAAGAAACTCAAAATAAACAGTTCTTAGTCTCTATGCATAATGGGGAAAACAGCTCAGAAAACACGGACAATGAAGAAAAACAAACACGGCTGGACAATGCTGTCGTGTCGTGTGTGTTCTTTGTCGTTTGTGTTTTCTGAGCTGTTTTCCCCATCATGTGTAATGTCAACCAACTGGCCCAGTTCACCACCTTATTACAGTTGTCAGTCTGCACGTTCACATGTGTCGTGTTCCTATAGTTTACATGTGTTGTGTTCCTATAGTTTAGTTCCTTCATCACGTCATCTTCAACGCATTCATGTTTTCATCGGATCCATATCGCAGAGGCAAGGTGTAGAAGTGCATCCTGATGTATGCTCTCACATACAGCGTGTCGGTACCTGTTCTAATTTCCCTGTTCAGAAGGATGGCGCTGACAAATTCGTGCTTGGATGAATTGGCACTCGGGAGGTTTCCAGCAGACGACGAATTACCACTCAACCAGGCTTGAACACCAACAACACTTTACTGTGGCTTAGAAGAAACAACGGCCGCCTCCTGCTGGTTGACAAGACAGGAGAATTTGTCATTTTAGGACAAGGGACGTACGAAAGGAAAGCCAAAGAATCCATGCAAGAAGCTAGACTTTGAAGAATGAAAAAGCATCAGCGAAAGAAGTATGAAAAACTCAAGAGCGCAACTAGCACGAGAATGTGAAAAACTAGGTCTCAAAACGACCGCAAAGAAAGTCAAAGGAAGCCAGGAACTATGTCTGAATCCTTTCTTTCCGGTAAAGATGCATAAGAAGGCAGCCCATTTCGAGTCATAGAAGACAAAGGAACCTGGCAGAATGGGATCACAAAGGAACTACAAAAACACCTGTCCAAGTGGAAGATCCGTTCTTGGTACACAACTTGAATGAAAGCATTGAATTTTTGAAAGGAACGAAACCCATCACCGCCTTTTCGGTGCGCCTGAAAGACATGTATTACAACATCCCACAGGAAAGAGCACTAGAGTCAGTGAACGAATGCATCGATGCAAAGCCAGAGCGAGATGAGCACCAGGGATTTCATAGGTTTCCTACGAACCTATATACTCTCTACGCGTCATGTTGAAAAGAAAAGGATACTCGTAGAAAGAAGGCATCTGCTAGATTCATGCAGAGCACCAGCCTTATGGGATATTTACCTTGCACGAGGCAATAAAGAATCGCAGCGTTTCTTTCAGGAAAATGGAGTTGCAATGTGTTTCATACAAAATAACGATTTTTCGGTATATTTTTTGATAAACGCACACATCATGAAGAAGTTCAAGGAAGCACACAGAGGACTGGAATTTATATCCGAATCATCGGAAAAAGGCGGCCTACAGTTCTTGGACATCAACATGGCATTTGGGGACAGACTCACATGCTGGATGTACAAGACGAGACGGGAGAAAGGAATGCTGCCGTGCGACTCTGGGCACTCCAAGCTAGGCAAGAGGAGCGTCGCCTCTGGATGCGTCTGCCAAGTCGTAAGAAAATTGTGCTCCCACAGAGTGTCGGAAGGCCTACGAATACGGATAAGCTGACTACAAGCAAGCGGTTGCCCAGAACCCCCAGTGGTGGCGATAGAAGAAAAATGCATTAATACTCTTGCAGGGAAAGACAAAACCAAGGAGAAGAAAGTAGACAGGACTCCAGTTGTTGTGCTGCCATACATCCACAATTTTTCGCACCGGATGAAAAAGATTTCCAAAAACCACCGAGTCAGAGTGGCCTTATCATAAGCCCCTTCAAGCTAAAAGGATTATGCAAGAAGGTGAACAAACTGGTACACAACAGAAAATATCAAGCATAATCTAGGGTAAAACAGGAATGCAAGTTTGTTGAATGTATCAAAATACCGCTTGTGGAAAATCATAACTTGGATTGACGGAGAGATGTCTAAACGAGAGACAAGGCGAGCACAAATATGCAAGCCGGCAGCTGTAAGCACCTGGTAACCTTGCAGCACACGGTGCAGGATGCAGCTGCGAAGTACTTGGAACTACCACCATCTTAGATATATTACGAGACGGGACCAGTGGGAAATCATGGAGGCTTTTCACATGGCTTCAGAAAGGCACGGAAGCTAGGTGCATCAGTGAACTCTTTATAGCTTTGAACCAAAAAGAAATAGAATGTCATAGAGAGGTCTCTTAGCACAACAGGGCAACCATCAGCTCCAGGGTACCCACAGCATAGACACACACACGGTAGAAATCAAATGTCTACAAATTCCAGCAAAGACATTCATCATTCCTGTTATTTCCACGACTTTTCAGGTACATATTCACCTTCCAGAACTTTGGCTTTTCAGACACCGGTGTCTACTATTGCCCGCGATGACATTCATCATCTATTCACTCGTAAGGGTTATCGGGCAAATCTTTGTCTTTCAAAACTCTGCTACAGAGGAGGAAGGAGAAACTGAAAATAAACAGTTGTTAGTCTGTGCAGCGCTTCCACATGTACGTCATGTTCTCTTGTGAGTCAAGACTGTCTTTTAAAGATCAGGGTGTAGAGTGATGCATCAAGGGTGCAACCTTGGCTGTATGTCACATTTCACATGATCTGTATTTTTTTTTTATTGTGACGTTTTGAAATAGGAGTTTAGAAGCTTTTTGTGTATACCAAAGATATTGCTGTGTGTGTGTGTTGCGGTTCAAAAGCATTTTATTTATTTTTTTGTTCTTTTGTGCATGACCTCAAGCAGTCTAGAAGGTTTCTTTGTCTAAACCAATAGGTTGTTGTGCTTTATGAGTGTTTTGCTTAGTTTTGTTTTGTGATGTACGTGAGAGGTATGCATGCAACCTTGATGTTTGGTAGTTCTGTGGCGGTTGTGGTTGATGGTTATCAGCTGAGTTAGAGACATTGCCTGTCACTGTCTTTTTTTCCCACTGTAATACTAGCTCTTTCTTCTGCCCCAGTCTCGGGTTAAAATCATTACGTAGGTTTGCTTTTAGACGTGCACAAGTATATGAGAGTTTCTAAAGTTGGTTTGAACTTAGGGGTAAACCTCAGTTGGTCAAGGTTCTCTTTATATGAATGGGTGGTGAAGCTCCTCGTCAAGGCCGTTTCAGATCTTCTATTCCATGAGAATTGCATAACTTGGGTTCCACGGTAGTCCACTTTTGTCTTGGAAATTACTCCGCTACAACAACCTTTTTGGGTCAGTGGCTTTGCTTGCAAGTATACTTGGTCACATTATAATCAGCGAGAGGCTAAGAATGGAGTAGATGCCGCCTCTCTTGGTCGTGCGCACAGCCAGGGGAAAGTAAGGAGCATGTGCCTCCACTGGGTTCTTAGCCACCGACTACAATACCGGTTGTCTAAAGAGAGAAACAGCTCAGTATCAATGCCCCTTTAAAGTAGACATAAAACAGACAGATTTCTCGCAGTCTCTGGCACAGCACTGCAAAGTGTTTACAGAAACTGCCTATTATTTGCTGCAGGTGGACTGTCTGTTGGAGCAAGCTACCGACCCAGCCATCTTGGGGCTCACGTGGACTGGCTGGGAGCCGTGGCTTTAGTCTTAGTCCTAGCCAATCCTTCTCTGTGCTCAATGTTTAAGTGTCCCTGATTCGGGGCCTGTTGCTTTTGCTCTAACACAAAGGCCTTATTTCTGTTCAAACACGTGTCTCAGGGTGTGCAGAAAAAAGAGGATTGCACCATAAGGTTTCGGGAATGGACCGAATAAATGTGGATGAATGTTTTGGAAATTCCGATGCTGCTTGCTTTAGCTCATGTACCCTGCATGACGAAGTTAGTGGAAACGTGACGCGGCCACTTTTAAATGCAATAGCACTTCTTTCGAGAGTCTGTCGGTAAAAGTTTGGATAGGGAACGTGAAAGGAATGTGCGTGTGTCGGAGAGGCGGGTAAATTGAGATTTGGGAACGAAGCGGACTGGAGATAGTGAACCCAACGCTCAACCGGTACGCCCAGACTCGTCAAGTAATGCAAATGCAATGTCATCTCTTTCATCAACTGAGCAACATGCTAGTTTTGCTCCCGTTGCACGACGGCTCGTGCAGCCGAGGCACAATCGAACGCAAGGAGCTTGCATCTGCCAGAGGGATCCTACAGCTTTCAATTGGCAGCATGCTGCATTTGAGAAACATGAAAAAGCAAACTTCCACGATCGGTGTCTCAGTGCCTGGTGCTCGTGGCGTCTCCTCACGGTTTGCCAAAAGTTGTACCACCTTGAGAAAGTGTGCCCTTTGATGGCGTCACCACGAACTCAGAGCGTTGTGGGTTCACCCATGTACCCATTCCTGGCTGTGCATGGCTTAACCCGTGTCCAGAGAAAGCCACTCAAAGCCACTCTCTTCCTTTTTCACGTTCTTACGTGGCAAGGGCCAACCTTGAGTGGAAACAGGTCCTGTCCCTGCAACCACACTTGAGTATAATGCCCAAGTTTTTTTAAATTTCTGAAGTTTCTTGTCATGCATTCTGAGGCTGAAAAGCCATCTGCAAAGCGTTCTTTCTTCCTCGTTTCGAAAGTACTCGAAAGAACGAAGTGACGCTCCTCTCGCCTCGAACTCCGTTTCGGATTACAAGGTTAGCGTGACACCTCACCACAAGCTGAGCTCCGTTCAGTGAGTTTTCTCCGAGAATGACTTGCTCGAAACATCCGAGGAAGAGCTCTGTGAGGATCTCTCCAGTCAAGGGATTGGAGGTGCACATCGCATCACCCTGCGCCGAGACGGTGTTAAATGAAAGACGAGACATATTATTTTGACATTCAATTCCCCACCCTACCAGAGACCATAAAGGTAGGCTACCTCCAGTGCCAAACCCTCGGCAGTGCTTCAAGTGCCAACAGTTCAACCATGGGTTGCGGAGCTGTAGAGGAGCCGAGACATGCGCCAAGTGCTCTAGTAAAGAGCATGCTGCAGATATCTGCAAAGACGAACCTGTGAGTTGTGACGCTTGCCACTCTGCATGCTCCTGAGCTTGTCCAATATGGAAACAGGAGAAGGAAATACTCACATCGAAGGTGAATGGAAACATCTTGTACCTCGAGGCAAAGAAACGTCTCCTCTGAAACAGCGGGTATGCCGAGGTCGTGCGTAGGGTACTAGCACAACCAACGATGGCATCGTTGGGAACCCAGACGTCTCTGGACGATCTGCGTCTCCCGTCCAAGTCCCCTTTGAAGCCCACGGGACTGGCGCCGGTGGTGCCACGTCCCAACCGCAGGGAGGATGCTGGCCCTCCGGTATCCACCTCGGGGCAGGGGACGGCACCTCCCACTCCCCCTGCTGTACTACACCCCACGTACCTGCCCCGAAGAAGCCGGGCGAGCCGTATGGGCTACCAACCCCTAAGGGTCAGCCGACAATATCAACCGAAGAGGCCTTGGATGAGACCGGGCTCAGGTCCGACGAAGAGACCCTCCTCTCAGGGTCAAAGTCCTCTCTTTCCGCTTCCAGTGACTCTTCTGGAGGGCAAAAAAAATAAAATTCTCCGTGTATAAAAATAGATTTTAAGTAATAGTAAATTATTAATTATATTTTTTAGTTACTTTCTTAAATCTACATAGTAACGGCGAAAAAGGTAGGCATCGTGCAATGGAACAGCCGCGGCCTTCTTCAAAACATAGATGACGTGAATTTATTTTTTGACGAGCTCCACCCTGTGGCCATTTGCTTACAGGAGACTCGTCTGAATGACTTCCACACGCAGCAGTTACGTCGCCCTCAGTTTTTTTCATAGAAAGGATAGTTTCCTCCAATCCTTCGGGTGGCGTAGCACTGGCAGTACAGAGTGGAGTCGCACGTGCCCAAGTTCCTGTCCAGACTCCACTGGAGGTGATAGCAGTTCGCATCCTATCACCGTCGTATCGACGGCTCGAGAGGGCGCCGCCACTAAAGCATGTTCTGGATAGGCTGTATGAAGCGGGCAGCCAGGGCGGCTCGCATTGCATTTGCTGCGCGATTTAACGCTAATTCGGCATGACACTTCATTGGCCACAAACGACAGCAAACGCGGGGTAAACATCAGTTCACAATGGGAGCCACTTCGCGCTGCCAAACGGCCAGATCGCAAGCCAAACCTGCTTGCCGAAAGCTTTCGGAACCAATCGGATCCTCGAGCCCGTGTACGACTGCAGCGCCGCCGCATACATCCGGGACCTCTACGCTCGCCGCTCGTTGGTGCCTGATCCCACTACTCCTTTATAGTATGCGCCGCCTTTTCCACCGCTTGGCGGTGGGTATGTCGACAGGTAATTTTTTGTTTCCATACTTTATAAACTGCATTTGTTTCTTATCCAATCTAAAATGCGAAACAAAAACTACTTTTATAAATAATTGAAACGGTTCACACCACTTATATTTTGTATTTAGACTGAAAAGAAGCTTTTAGTGGCTTTGACCAGTAGTAATTAAGACCAGGACTAAAGACTTCATATATTAAGCGCTTTCGGCATTGCGGATCGCCCCCGTAGGAGGTTTCCGCGTCTTCCGGTTAAAATATGACGCACTGAAATTTAGTTACTCTCTCCGTGCCCGCTGGCTTGCCCGAACCCCAAGAGACGTGGAAACCGCAAAAAAGGTAGACGCTTAAATTTGATTGTAGGGCCCCTTTTAAAAGGATACAACAACGAAATTTCGGCACTTATTTCTTGGTCTATATGCATTCAAAGGAATAGTATCACATTGGACACACCAATATCCTGTTAAAAAAACGAAAGGGAATTTTAAAACGAATTAAACGATTATAGCAAAGAGCACCTGGTGGATGTCGCTAACGCCTCGTTTGTAATGCCCGTCTAGGAGCCTTGACAGGTAGTGACGATAACTGTCTCGCCTCCGGCCACCACGGGAAAAGAGGGGAAGGTGGAACTCCCCTTTTTTCAGAGAATCTCTTGTGTGTCCCAGAAGTCGCCATTGTCCCTCTACAAGATTATAGAAGATTAACCCGTCACTCAAAATTCATACAAAAGCAGCCGCTTCGGTGTCTGGAACCACGACAACATCCTCTCGACGTCGGCCTCGCCGCAGCTTTGCTCGTCCCGAGACGAACTATGTCTCGACTGCGGGGGATGTGACGTGCTCTCCAAGCGCTTGACTGAGTGGGCTGTTACGAAAAATACAGCCATCAGGCTCAAAATACAAATGTGTGATTGTCATTTACGGATATTGTGAATCATATTCAACCTATTTTTGAACACGACGGGTATATTTCAACTTTTGTTGAAGTATCCCGTTAACATTTGCCTAAAACCTAAAAGTCAAAACTGTAAATGCCGAAAATTCGGAAGTGCATGCGCGACAACGTGGTGCCTAAAATTCTCTTTGAAGCTATTGTTAACCTTTGAAAACGGGACAAAACAGTCAGTAGGATATCAAGGATTTTTTCTTCCTCGGACATCATACATGGGTCAATTACTTTGAAAATGTAATTTAATTACAATTACTTTGCTTCAAAAGTAGTTTAATTACAATTACTACTACAGGAAGAGTAATTAATTCCAAATTACTTTTTAAAAAATAATTACTTTACAATTATTTATTTCTGAGAGCGACCCGACTTAAGCAAGTTGTTTGGTTAGAATGCAACGTGTGCATTCTAAACAGCGGAGTTAAGACAACAAACACGACGGGACGAAGCTGTTCTCGCAGCTAAAGTTTTGTTGGTGAAATTAGCAAAGAATACAGCATAGCCGACACTGATTACATCAACAACACCTACTTATCTATCAGGCACTACACAATCTTTGCAGCTGAAGTGATTTTGCATAGAACAATCCCCTTTATCTGAGAGCTACCGACGGTATGGTGCCTGGATCGCGTCTTATTCTAAAACTCCCTATTAGGTAGTTTTAGAATAGAGAGTTTTAGCTTACCGCGTACCGGGCGACCGCCGGGGTTACCGCGACCGCGACCATCGAGCCGGTACCGGACCGAGAGCGTAGCGGGTAAAGAACGTTTTAGCATACCGTAACCGCGCCTGACCGCGCCTATGGAAGTTTCTTCTTTCTCCAACGGCTGGAAAAAGTCATGATGATGATAGTGAATAGCTTGCTAAGAAATTGCAATGTAATGTTGGATCCTCTACTTTTCTTTCATATATTTGTTTGTTCCCTGTGATAAAAAAACAAAACAAAAAACATGCGGTTACTTGAAGAGATTTGTGGCAACTGGTAATTTATTGGAGCGCGCAAATGAATAGAAAGCTTATTGGAACGAATGCAAGCTAAAAGAAAAAGTGAAATTGGTCGTTGTGTGAATATTTACACAGCGCGAGGTTAGTCTGCCTGAATTTGGCGATACTGTTTCTTCGCTGTAGATGGGCAGTGTGGCCAGTGCGGTACGACCGAAAACCTGGAGTCTTTAACATGCACCACCAGTCATGGTTATACGAACGCAGCCGGTACGATGCTCGTCCAGATCGAACCGGGCAGGGACGGGGATTTGAACCCAGTGCTCTGAGTTCTGCAGCGCGAGCTTTCGCTACACGTGCTCCGAGCTGTGGTGCGTTAGCCCACTCGGCCACCGTTCTCCCACGAATGCAAGCAAACAGCATCATCCTGTACGCTGCTTGTTTGCATTCGCAGCTCCATTGCCATCAGCACCAGTCTCTAATGTCGGCTAGGTGGCTCAGGTTGCCGCCCGAAACAAGGGGCATAGCAGTTACCATCCATCTATTCAACCGGCCTGTCCGGCGGCCATGGAAGCCCGGATTTTTGCTATGGACCTCGGGTAGGCGAAAGCCTTTATAGGCCAACCAGAGCCGCTTCACTTGCCCTTTCCCATGTTATGTGGTGCGACGATTGTTTTTAGACGCCTCCCCCGCCATTCCAAAACAGTAAGTGATTAGTCTACGCCGGCCGTCGGAGCCGATGCCCGGCAGTCGCCATTGACGGTAAACGCGGTAAACCGAGTAGCGTGGCATAATTGGCGCATGCGCAGTTCTGCAGTGACGGTCGCGGTAACCCCCCGGTCGCCCGGTAGGCGGTAAGCTAATAGGGAGTTTTAGAATAACGTACGCAATTTTAGCGCACGCTAGCGCTAAATTTAGCGCTTGTATGAGCGCACGCGACGCAAGAGAGTTTTAGAATAGCGTTTCTCCGCCTCGACGCAAAAGCCCAAGCATCTCGCGCTTGCGACGCCACCAAGATACAGTACAAATTTTTATTTTACACACGAAATGCTGTAACTTTAGAAAAAAAACGAGTTTTTTGGTCCAGAGTAGCATTTTAATTTGTTTGAACATGAGAACGCGACGTGAGCGGTTGAGCGGTCGTGTCCGCTTGCGTCGCCTCGGCAAGAGAGGTCTCGTGTACTGACCTTCGCACATCATACCTTCGCCGTGAAATGTTCGCGCGTCGCAAGCATCAAGTTGTCGGTAATTGCTGCCAAACCGAGTACAATGTCGTCCCGTATTGAAAATTGCAGCCGCGAGGATACCGCCGACGTCGCACTCACGCCGCCGCCAAAGCAGCCGCCGACATAATCCTGGAAGCCGCCATGTTTTTTTAACTGTGCTCGTCTTGGATTTAGCCAACTTCTCATCACGAATCCTCCTAGGAGAAGCGCAAACACTCTTTGCGTACGCACGCTATTTCTGAGAAATAGCGCACGCTAAAATTGCGCACGCAAAGCGCAAAACCTGGTTTGCGTTCGGAGCATGCGCAGTGGCGACGACGCTATTCTTTGCGTACGCAAAGCTTTAGCGTGCGCTATTCTAAAACTCCCTAATACTAGGGAGTTTTAGAATAGCGCACGCTAAAGCTTTGCGTACGCAAAGAATAGCGTCGTCGCCACTGCGCATGCTCCGAACGCAAACCAGGTTTTGCGCTTTGCGTGCGCAATTTTAGCGTGCGCTATTTCTCAGAAATAGCGTGCGTACGCAAAGAGTGTTTGCGCTTCTCCTAGGAGGATTCGTGATGAGAAGTTGGCTAAATCCAAGACGAGCACAGTTAAAAAAACATGGCGGCTTCCAGGATTATGTCGGCGGCTGCTTTGGCGGCGGCGTGAGTGCGACGTCGGCGGTATCCTCGCGGCTGCAATTTTCAATACGGGACGACATTGTACTCGGTTTGGCAGCAATTACCGACAACTTGATGCTTGCGACGCGCGAACATTTCACGGCGAAGGTATGATGTGCGAAGGTCAGTACACGAGACCTCTCTTGCCGAGGCGACGCAAGCGGACACGACCGCTCAACCGCTCACGTCGCGTTCTCATGTTCAAACAAATTAAAATGCTACTCTGGACCAAAAAACTCGTTTTTTTTTCTAAAGTTACAGCATTTCGTGTGTAAAATAAAAATTTGTACTGTATCTTGGTGGCGTCGCAAGCGCGAGATGCTTGGGCTTTTGCGTCGAGGCGGAGAAACGCTATTCTAAAACTCTCTTGCGTCGCGTGCGCTCATACAAGCGCTAAATTTAGCGCTAGCGTGCGCTAAAATTGCGTACGTTATTCTAAAACTCCCTACTCTCTAATAACGTACGCAATTTTAGCGCACGCTAGCGCTAAATTTAGCGCTTGTATTAGCGCACGCGACGCAAGAGAGTTTTAGAATAGCGTTTCTCCGTCGCGACGCAAAAGCCCAAGCGGCCCAAGCAGCTTGCGCTTGCGACGCCCCCAAGATAGTCACAATTTTTATTTCACACACGAAATGCTGTAACTTTAGAATAAAAAAAAAAAAAAAGTTTTTTTTTGGTTCAAAGTACTTTTTTGGATTTATTTAAACATCAGAATGAGACGCGAGCGGTTGACCGGTCGTGTCCGCTTGCGTCGCCTCGGCAAGAGAGGTCTCGTGTACTGACCTTCGCCGAGAAATGTTCGCGCGTCGCAAGGATCAAGTTGCCGGTGTTCGCTGCCAAACCAGAGGAGTGCAACTTACTATACCGCCCATGGAACGCAAATTGGAAAACCCTGGGAGGCCGCAGCGCCATTTGAATCCCCTGGTATCTAAAGGCTGTACAAAAATCAACAAGGCGGCACAGCGAAACCAAAACCGAAACTGCACGGCAGCGCCATTGTGTTTGGATGGATGGGCGGTAGCTTGCGCCACCTAGAGTTAAAAATATATATATTGCAGCTTTTTTTTTTTTTTTTTTGCCCCGTTTGCGCGTTGCTTTGCTAGGCTTCTGCTGCTTTGCGGCTGGTTTTCGCATTTCAATGCTGGTTAATGCGCGCTGAAACGCACACAAGCCAGCACTGAAAAGCGAGACCAGCAGAAACCTAGCAAAGCAACGAAAGTGACACATACACAAAAAATATGCAATGCTTGTCCTTTTGCGTTCATTTTTATTCAACAGACAGTAGAACATACAGACGAAATTTCTCACTGTTTTGCACACGAGAGACAAAGAAATGAACAACAAAACAGGATAAAACGTTAAGGTTACGTGCGACGAAGGTGATGATATGCGTCCTTGCAAATTTGATTATATAAGTAAGCATATAAGTAAAGACCAACGACGGTGTCTTAATTGCAATTAAAGGAAACTAAGCAATGAGCACCAAGAAAAACAGCTCAGCTCTTTGGTATTGAGTCCTCATCGAGAACCTGCCCATTCGTTTTCAATATTATCACTTAAATTTAGGAGTGAGTCACTGCTAAACGAAACGGGAAACCAGAGCGGATCGCTCTATCGCTCATCCTCAGTTAATCGAAAAATAATTAGGCTCATATTTTCACTCCTCGCGAACAGACGCGTGAATCGCTGACAACAGTGCCAAATAAACAGCTCGCAGCAAAAAGTTTGCCATCTTTTAAAGCGAGCATATGTGCTCGATCTTGATATGAAAAAGTCTACACAGAAGTCTCCAGTAATTTGACAATGACATATTTCTCGCGGCGAGTGAAGAGCGATCCTGAACAATGATAGGATTTGGTTTTGTGATTGGAAACCATTGTAGCTATTGCCAAAATCAAACAATTAATACTCACTACCACTGCGACAGTTAGGTTTTGTTGCAAACATCCAATCAGAAACTTAAGCAAGAGAAGATCAAAAGAGCGTACCGCACGTCCATTCGAACACATGGGCGTATCAACCGGGGGGGCAAGGGGGGCGCTTGCCCCCCCCCCCCCACTTCTCAGAGTGGGGGGCAAGGTATGTGTTTTGCCCCCCCTGAAATAGCGGAGGTCCTTTCTGAGAAAAATGTAACAGTAACTAGGAAAAGTGGTAAGGCTGTTTTTTTTTCGTCGGTCCCGTACTCAGGGACACATTTCTTGCCAAATTAAAAGAGCCAAACCCCTGAAATTAAACCAAGCAACGCGCCTGGGAGGTGGTAAAGGGTTCGGTACTAAATGGTTCAAATAGAGGGTATACGTTCGCGCCCTAGCGGGCACACTCGTACTCTGAACTTGGAGAACCACTCCGTCGCTTCATCCGAAACCGAAGTCCGCGACGGCGAGTTCAAGGCGCAGCCAGGAGCCAATGTGTCGGCGCAGCGGCGCACATCTAAGGGCCGTCGGCGCAGTGTTCTGCGGCGGCGAAAGCAGAAGGCACCATCGAGGGTCTTGTTTACGCTACTTTTCAAGAGTAAGTTAGTTACAGTTAGAATAACAGTCAGAAAAAAAAATTGCAGAGGCATCGACGCTAGTTCGCTAACTTCCGAGCAGGTGCATCATAGCGGCGCGCATCACAGTGAGGGCTTTCTTTGCCTGTCGCGTACCTCGCCCGACGCCGAACGAGCAAGGATGACCGCGTCCCCACAAGTCGGCTATGTCCCTTTGCGGTGAAGGCGGGTGTGTTTGAACCTGTCGGAAAGGGTGATAACGCGGGGCGAGAGCCGCGCACAAAATGTTAAAACAAATGAAATACGAGTTCGACTTTTTGCGCCAGGAAAATAGCGAAAGAGAGAAATAGAAAAATGGCTGCGCGCTGCTAACATCCTCTAATCGGGAGTCGGCCAATCACACACATCCAGCCTCCTGTCTTTTTTTGTTTGTTCTAATAGTCGTCCTTCTCAATTCGATACTCCACGCTCGAGTTTATTTGTGTCGCGTTGAGGCAATCT